AGTGCTTTTAGCCACTATGCTACCAGAGCTCCCTTCTGGCAAATAACAGATACTAAATTAAACAGTCAGGGATTTCATTTTACTTGGATCCACAGTCAACACCCATGGAAGCAGCAGTCAAGCAATCAGATGTCATGTGGCACTAGGCAAATATGCCGCGAAAGACCTCTTTCACGTGCTGAAGAGCAAAGATGTTTCTTTGAAAACTAAGGTGCGCCTAATCAAAGCCATGGTATTTTCAGTCACATATCAATTTTCATATGCATATGAAAGCTGCACAATGAATAAGGAAGACCAAAGAAGAGTTGATGCTTTTGCGTTGGCGAAGAATACTGAAAGTTCCATGGACTTCCAGAGGAATGAAGAAATCTGTCCCTGAGGAACTGCAGCTGGAATGTTCCTTGGAAGCAAGAATGGCCTGACTTTGTCTCACCTACTTTGGTCATATTGTCAGAAAGGACCTTTCCCTGGAGAAGGAGATCATGCTTGGTGAAGTCGAGGGTCAGACCCTCAACAGATGGACTGACACAGCGGCTGCAACGATGGGCTCAAGCACAGCAAGGATTGTGAGGACGGCACGGGACCAGGCAGCGTTTTGTTGTGTTGTGTGTTGAATCGCTTTGAGTCATAACAGACTTGATGGCACCTCACAACAACAACATTAAAAATAACTACTGTTGTTGCTCTATTGCTACCCAAAATTCTACAATGGAGGCACATTTTATCTTTTATCCTTTTGTTTTTGTTATTTTAATGTTTTTTCTGTCTTATTGGAAAATACTAGACTGGTACTGCACTAGAAATTAGAAAAAAATTATTGAAGGAATAATGTCATTTCAAAATACGGAGACATTTACAGACATCATGCAAGATGTTGCACTGCTCAGAATTGCAGGGAGAACAGTAAGGGTTTACAAAAGGTATAGTAAACAAAAGATCTGTGCTCACAGGCAGGTAGGGGTGGGGAGGAAGCCTAACAAGCTACAGACAAAGAGGTCAGCAAGTTGATGGGTTGTATCCTGAGGTGGTTCCCAGCCTGAGAGTTAGTACATCCTCAAAGTTGTTTAACAAAGCACTCATTCAGGGCTTCCTTTTCGGCCACATCTGAAGTCTGTCTCCTCTCTTAGTTACACATTTTACAAAGGGCTAGTATATAGGCAGTGGGAAAGCTCAGTGGGTGAGGATTTCATTGGGACTAAGAGTTGATCTCTATTTTAGCTACAAAGTTACTTACAAGTTCTTACCTCATTTATTTTCTGTTTTATTTCTCATCCTCCCGCTGACCAGTGGCCTTCTCTGGGGCCAGCTGAAAATTTTCTCATCAGACACTAAGCAAGTCTTTACCTTGGTTAGAAATCTTGACTTCTGCTTTTGTTTTTCGAACAGTAGAACTGTGACAAAAAGGCTGACTGGCGTTTTTTTCATTTCACAATGGGGTTTAATTTAGGCCTGAAGTCACCCACTTCAGGTATGTTAGTACCTCAGTTTTTCAAGATTCACATCCAAAGTTCTCACCTGGAGGTTCTCTTCGTTGAGCCGTTGGCTTCGGGGAGGCTTGACATGGCTGCCCGTGCTGGCCTTGACCTGGCAGATGTTTCAGGGAACGATCGGAATATGACCAGAGCAGGGAACTGCCGAAGGCTGTCTGCCAGGAGCAGAAAGCTGGGCATCACATACCCCATCCTTCTGGGCAGAGACCTTCCTCTGCTCTTCTCATCCAAGTCACATTATCACCCCACACAAGCTCACCCTCTGCCATGACACACAGCCATCCCACAGAGATGCTGGAAGAATCCTAGAATCAGAAATGTAGGGTAACGTTGGTTGTGTTGACATTTTATCTCTCTCAGATGGATAACATCCTGTGTTGTGAGCCTGCAGGAAAATCCCATGCCCTTTGTTTTTGGGAAAGAGATTGGAAATTGCCCATTTGGAAAGCTACTTGGCGGTATCACTATATCAGTGTCTACCATGTAGCCTAGATATCCCATGGTTCTAATTATTAAAAGTAATAATAATTAAAGGACATGTTGAGGCTGTATTCTTTTACTGGGTAAATCTCCAAGATAGGTGTTTTTATATTAAACATCAGAGTGCATGGGTGCATGTCTTTCTAACTTCTGTGGTTTTCTTTTCAGACATCCCTGTTCACACCATACCCGAGAATGCCGGTGAGTAGGGCCCCGTGGCTAGATGCTCTATGGGTGTCTTCTAGCTCCCAGCCCAAAAGGTGGTCACTGCCAGGCATCTGGACATCCAGCCCATGCCCTGCAGTGGTGTGGGAGGGCTCTGCAGGGCCCTGAGTCCTGCTTGGAGCAGCCAGCGTGGAACTAGGGCTGCTAGGAACCAGCACATAGGTGGGAGCAGTGGGCATCTTCCTGCGCGGACCCTTCTGTTTTCTAGTTCCTCTCCTCCCAACATTCTCCCCTTGCTGCCCCCCATGTGACTTACCTGAATTTGGCATTCCCTGGGTGAACCAGTCCATGGGTAGACCACATGGTTAGCACACTAGATTGCTAACCGAAAGGTTGGTGGTTCAAGGGCACTCAGAGGGCCCCAAGGAGCAAGGCCTGGCCATGTACTTCTAGAAAATCAGCCATCGAAACTCCAGGAATCAGTTCTAGTCTGACACATTTGAAGTTGCTTTGAGTCTGGGTCAACTCAGTGGCAAGTAGGTTTTTTTTAATTGTGATTTGGTGAAACTTTACAGAGCAAATTCATCTTCCATATAGCAGTTCATATACACTTTGTCTCATGTCATTGACTGTAGTCCCCCACAGCGCAACAGCTCTCTTCCTACTTCCTCCTCATAGTTAACTCTTCACTGTGTCCTTCCCTCCCATGCACTACTGCCCTGCCCCTGAGCTGTCTCCTTGTGCACACACAGCCCTTCTATTCTCCTATGATTGATCTCTCCAAGGAGTGTATCTATCTAATGTAAATGTTCAGCTCATATACCTGTCTTTTATTTGGCTGGAAGCCGCAGGAGTGGGTTCAACTCCAGATCTGAAGGGAAGCTAGGGGCCATAGTCTCAGTGGTTCTACCAGGCTCCATCAGGCCAGCAAACCTGGTCCCTTTCTTTTGTGGGGGTAGGGGTTGGGGGCTCTGGTGGCATAGTGTCTAAGACATTTGACTGCTAACCAGAAGGCTGGCAGTTCAAACCCACCAGCCACTTCTCAGAAGGAAGGTTGGGCAATCTACTTCCATAGAGATACTGCCTTGGAAACCCGAGGAGGGGTCTCTATGAGTCAAATCAACTTGATGGCAATGAGTTTGGTTTGTTTATGATTTTGAATTTTTTTTCACATTGTTCTCCCACTCTATCCAGGATCTCTGACATAGATCCCCCTCCTAGTGGTTGACACTGGTAGCTGGGATCCATCTAGTTCTTCTGGTCTCATAGTCATATAGGCTGGATTGAATGGCGTACCAGTCCCTTGGACTAATTGTTTCCATGTGTCTTTGGTTTTCTTCATTCTTCTTTGCTCTGGATGAGGCAACTAGTTTTTATGGCTTGAAATTCTCAACGGGCTCCAGATGGTTAGCATTTGTAAATTAAGAGAACATGGGAATGCAAGGAGCAGAAGACCCAGTGGACAGTGGTATAAGCAACATTGACCTCACCGAGGAAGGCTGCAGGGAGGCAAACAGTCCCAACCTGGTGCCATGTTGTGTGAACACCTCCCAGGCTACTTTTCTCTCCTTCTGCTCCACCATCTTCTTCTGCAGGGTGATTTCCATCATGCCTGTCCTGTCTGGGCCACAAGAGGGTCACTGTAGCCCTTGGGTTATGTCTGTGCAGGAAGAAGGAAGGGGAGGCACCAGCAAGCTCTCCCAGACCATGTTTTAGGCTGGGTTCTCCAAAGAAGCAAAACCAGTGAAGCTTTTATATATATAAAGAGAGAGGACTTTATCTCCAGGAAATGGCTCACCCAGTTGTAGAAGATGTCAAATCCCAAGTCCATGGATCAAATGTCAAGCTAGAGGCATCTCCTAACTCACGCAGCTGCAGAGGCTGGCGGATTCAAGATTTGCAGGTAGTATAGCAAACTGCTGGCTGCTGAGGCTGATGAATCCAAGACTAGCAAGTAACATAGCACATCGTTGGGTCACAGGCTGTGAAGGCAATAATTGCAAGATTGGCAGGCAACATGGCAGGCCACCGATTCAAGTCTCGGCCCTGGATATGATGACAGACCTTTTTGCAGGAGCAAAAAGCCAGAGACCTTTCTCAAAGCTCTTCCGTAGATACTGGAAGCAGGCCATGCTTAGAAGGCAGCTCCCCTTCAGCTAATTAGCTGCTCACAGCAGTTTCCACCATGGAGGTGATTACACTATGTCCAGTCTCATCCTGGGGAACAACTACATCCAGCTGCTAAGCCACTCAAAATCATGGCCCAGCCAAGTGAACACACAACCTCAACTACCACAAACCAGAACACAAAATCTTCCCCAGCCCCCAGCACCACCCTCCTCTTTTGTCCTTTCATCTCGTGGGCCAGACCACCTGGAGTTGCAAGGAAGGGTGGGAAGGCAAGTGTCTGACAAATGAGGATGGTTCCTGTGGTTAGGAGTTTCTGGGCAAGTGGTTAACGTGCTTGGCTGCAAACTGAAAAGCCGGAGGTTCAAGTCCACCTGGGGCACATGGAAGAAGCACCTTGTGATCTGAAGATGAGCCACTGCAAACCCACGGAGCACAGTTCCCCCGACACACATCAGGTCACCACCAGTTGCGTCAACTCACATGACTGGTTGAGACCTGTCAGGAGTATTGTCTTGAAGAGGACCACACTCCAAGGTTGACTTTTGTCAGCTTGGAAAGGTGGTTGGGGCAGATGGCTCTGTTGCCCTCCAGGACCAAGTTCAGATACTCTATCAGGGCCCACAAGCCCCCAGGCTGCCTGCTTTCCACCCGGGCTCCTTTCCCCTCAGCTTGGCCTGGCTGAGCTCGGTCCTGCTCCTTGGCACTAGGCCATCTGCTTTGGGCAGGGCCTGAGTACTGTGGCCTTTCTGCCCAGTGACCTGTCTCCACCCATGACAGGCTAGTTCTGACTTGGATACAGACTAAGCAATAGTTTGTGGACTTGGGGATGGAGAATTGCTGTTGATTCTGAGGAGATGGAATTATTTAGATGGTGGAACATGAAAGAGTTAGTGGGAGAGAGAAAAGTTACAAGTGGATGTTGGCATCAAAGGGAACCCAGAGACAGCGGACCTTGCTGGGCGTAGAGACAGAGGCTCGAAGCCAGTGGGCTTGTGTGCGGGAGGGCGTGGCCATTTCAGGGAGCGTTTATCTCTTCTGAAAAAGCCTCAAACATTTGAACAAAACAAAGGCTTCCCATCACTGCAACTTTGAGGGATTGTTTTCCTCCTCTTTTCCTGAATGGTCTTCAGAAAACGAGTGTTTCAGGAGCTCTCTATACTGTTGGGAGCACGAGGCCAGGACACGTGCCTCCACACATCTGCTCCCATGGTGTGAGTCTATTCTCAAAAGTTGGCCTGCTGCCCAACAGCAGACAACAGCAGAGAGACCCAAACGTCAGCAGTTGTCCTCTCCTTGCTTTCAGTGTTAAGTGGGTAACCTTGATAAAGCTTTAAAAAGATCTGCCTGGGCTTGGAAAGAACCAAGCCTGTGGAAGGACTGAGCCAGGTGCCAGGATCCTTGACCTTGGAGGTGACCCTCAGAGGAAGTGAGGAGGGGGGCCTCGCTGGACAGCATGGGCTTCAGGGGAAGTTGTTGGGAGATGCCCGTGGGGAAGTACAGGTTTGGGGGTGTCCCCTCCCTTGACTGAGAGAAGACTCCAAAGTGAGGCCCTCGCAGCTGCTGATGGAAGAGGTGTTGGCCCCCAGACCATGCCCAGCCCCCTCTGCCCCCTGAAAATGTGCCCATCAGTTTCTTCTCTGAGCCCGGACTCCACAATTATAAAACCAACTTCAAGACTGAATGTAAGTGATGTGTTTGCTTTTTTGTCACATGGAATGCCTTGAAGTTGGCTCCTGCAGAGGCAGGTGTGCACCATGTAACATTTACATCAACAGTGTCTTCACTTCGTGCACCTTCATATTCCTCCCACTCTCTCGGAAGAAGGGCTCCCTGGGAAAAGGCCTTAGCATGTCCACCACAGCGGACACAGTGCTAGTTGTCTTCTTTGCTTTGTCTCATCTAATGCTCAGCCGTCCTTGAGGGCATTGCTGACTGGCCTATTTCACAGGTGATAACACTGAGGCTCAGAGAAGCTGAGCACCTTGCAAAGGCCTCACTTTTGAGGTCGGGATTGTGGCTTGGCCTGTTGGTCATAATGCTGTGGCCAGACTGGTCCCTGCCTACTGCTGTGGTTCAAGTCTCACTCATCCTGCCAGGTGGAGGTGGCTCCCCCACAGACCATCCCACCCACCTCGCCCAGGTCACCCACTAACCTTCCTGTCCTCTTGCACTGTTGTCTCTGGGTCTCCCTCTCTTGGGTCCACCCTGAGACCCACAAGCTTCCATCTACTGAAGACACACATACCCATCCAGCTTGTCAAAGATCATTTCCAGAGCATTCCGCCTGTCCTGTCCTCTAGAATCTGGTGGGTGACCGGCTTCCTGCTGGGTCTGCACCTTTGTGGGAGCCCAGAAGCCACTTTCAGATGCAAATCAAGGAAATTGTGTCTACTAGATAGAAAGAAAGAAAAAAAAAAGATTCACTGGGGGTTCTTGCTGATTCTCTCTGGGCCTACCTCCATTGCCATGGCAACCGTGTTTGTATTGCTGGGCTTGGATGGTGTTATTCTTTATGGCTTCTCCCTGCCCTCTCTAGTGAGTGCCTTGAGAGGCCCTGCAGGGCAGGAACAGGTGTGGGACAGGAAGGTACAGGGGCTAGGTGAGCAGCACAATTAAGGGAGAGAATAGAACAAGGAGGAGGAGTGGTGGGACAGCCAAATTCCTGCTGCTCCCACATCCAAGCCTGAGGATGTTGTGCTGCTGGCTGCAGCCCCAGTGAAGTCATGAGGCGGCCATGGGGATGGACGGTTTGAGAGAGCAGGGACCTGTAGGTGACGTGCAGATCCCCTTATCTGGAGACAGTACATAAGAGAGGGAACCCATCCCCGTCCCCGTCCCTTAACTAGAGGAAGGACAGGCTGCTCAAACTTGGAGAAATTATAGGTCAGGACTCAAGAAGGACTTGTCAGAGGGGTTAGTAGATGGTTCAGAAGCAGCCATCTCTGGTGGCCCAGTGCAACTCTGGCCTCAGAGAGTCCTCCAGGATGCCACATGCCATGCCCTGAGGTTACAAGGGTGACACTGAGCTCCAGGATAGCTTTTGACTTGTCACATGTCAACAGTGCAGTCAGTAGGGAAAGAAACCATTGGTGTTCAGGCATCCAACAACTATTGGTTGCCAGCCTACTGTGCATGGGTGTGGTGGGGCACGATCTGCTGATGCCCAGGCCAGGGCCAGGGGCCTACTGTGCGCTGGTGCAGTGAAGAGCACCATTTCCCGACATCCCTACTGGGGCTGGGGACCTACTGTGCGCTGGTGCGTGGGGTGCCATCTCCTGAAGCCCAGGCCAGGGCTGTGGGCCTACTGTGTGACAGTGCAGTGAGACGGATACCATCTCCTGACACCCAGGCCAGGGCCGCAGGCCTACTCTGCATCAGTTTTGTGAGGCGTGCCATCTCCCAGTGCCCAGGCCAGGGCTGGGGACCTGCTGTGCACCAGTGTGGTGAGGAGCACCATCTGCTGACATCCAGGCCAGAGAGGGAATGTCTTGAGTATCTATGAGCCCCAAAGTCCCTCTGGCAGCCTAATCACCCAGGAGTCTTGAGCCTGTCTCACTGCCACCTGCAACCCCGCCCCCCCCAACACTGACAGTGAAGAGGCATCGGCCTTCCCCTGGTGCACGGCCTGCAGTAAGCCCTTTGTCCTTATGTGCTGCATCGCCACGAGCCTGGAGGACCAGGCAGAGAATTTTGCAAACACCCACCACTGGAAATTTCCTAGAAGGACCATGGTGGAGATCATGGTAGTATTGTGGCCTGGTCTCCTAGGGCTGCCCTAAGAAAAGACCACAACGGGGCTGGCTTTAAAGAGCAGGATTATATTTATTTCTTACACTGGAGGCTACAAGTTCGAGGTAGGGCCTTGGCAATGTGGATTCTTTCTTTGGCTTTGAGAGGGGAACTGTCCAGGCCTCCCCCCAGCTTGTGGGGCTGCCAGCAATCCTTGGCACCTTCTGCTGGCCGTGGCTGCATCTGTCGCCACTGTCACATGGCATCTGTCCTCCCCGTGTAGCTCTACTTCCATGTCCTTCCTTCTCTTATAAAAGATGCTACTCACGCAGGACAGAATTTCGCATTCTCATGGAATCCAGATTTTCTGGTGTCATGGAGGCTGGGGGAACCTTGACACTATTGGCCTGAGATCATCTTTAAACTTGAAGCCAAAATATCTACAGAAGTCTTCCTTCAACCAAACAACAGTTTAGCCGATGTATCTATATGGGATCGAATGGACAATGGCAACTCGGAAGGTTAGACAGCAACCTTCGGGGGCAGTGATTTATGTCAGTGAGGGATGGACAGTTTGGAAGAGGAGGATGAGAATGGCTGTGCAGCTCCCAGGTTGTAATCAGCGTCACTGGATTGGACACGTAGGAAGTGTCGACTTGGTGTTTGTTCTGCTGTGTGTAGTTTCAATAATACCAAAAATAAATTATTATTATTTTTTAAGAAAGATGCTTCTAAAGAACCAGGAGTAGTATGCGCTCTCCCTGCTCTGACAGCAGACTGCAAAGAGAAGCCTGATTTCACAAATACAGTCACAGGGTTCAGTGCGTCTTTGTGAATTAAATTCAGCTCAGCCCGTAGCCTGGGGCAGCTGCTGGGAAAGGAGGTAGAGGTGGGGATGAGCCCCCCAGTGAAAAGCTCTTCTGTGACATTGCCACGAAGCACTTTGCACACAGGGTCTCATTGCCTCTGCCTCCCAAGGAGGGCAACAGTGTAGATTCCAGTGGACGGGTGATGGGCAGAGTCACGCAGGCCCTAACTGGGGTCACTCAGTAGCTTGGGAGGGGAGGGCAGTAGAGGCCCTGCCTCTAGTCCCACTTCTGGGGTCTGTGTCTAGTGGGACAGACTGATCCAGACTGAGGTAGGAAGAGGCTTTGTTTGGAGGCAGAAGGGGGCGAATCTGCCCCGGACAGAAGTTTCCCTGGGGAAGCAGTTCTCACCACAGAACTGAGGGTGAGGAAGAGTAGGTCAGGCTCTAATGGGTGGGGAGGGAAGAGCCCCAGCAGAGGGGCAGTCTCTGGGGGTGGGCACTGAGCGGGTGCATACCAGGACCGGGGTGTGTGGCTTGAGCTGAGGGGCCTGCACTGCATGTGGGGGCTGTGCCCCTGGCTGACCTGTTCTGCATTCTCCATCAACAGGGGGAGCGGGGCCCCAAAGGAGAGAAGGGTGATGCCGGCGTGCCCGGGGAGCCGGTGAGTCCCGCACCCTGTGCCCATGTCCATGCCTTGTGCAGCTGCTCACCTGTCCAGGGGGGTATCCAAGGGTCACCAGCTACAGGGATCAGCCCAACCACAGGAGCCATGAGCTGAGTGCAGCCCCTTCCTTCCTCTTCCTCCCTTGGGACATGTTTCCCCTCCCCCTGGCTGTGCCCACCCCACTGCATCTGCCCAGAAAGGCTCAGGGAGACTGTTCATGGACGGTCATTTCATTGCAGGGATCACAGGGCCATCCCGGAGAACTGGGCCCTCGAGGACCCCCTGGACCGCCGGTAAGGAAGCCAACTCTCTCTCCTGGGTTATCTCTGGGTCTCTGAAGCCCCATGTCCCCTCTGCTACTCCCTTGCTGCCCTGGCCACTCTCACCTGGCATTCCTGGAATGCCCACCAGGGGGCACTGCCACATAACACCTCAAGACCTGCGAGCCTCTTGTTGGTCCCCTGGGGGGAGAGGTCATCACAAGGCTCCCTCAAACACAGCCATGGGGCCTGGGCCTTGCCTCTAGTCCCAAGATGTCCTTACCCTGTCATGAAAGAGTTGATGCCCAGCTCCCACCTGCTGTCCCTCCCTGGTGTGTGGTACACAGCCATATTGGAACTGTTAGATTCTCAGAAACAGGAAGCCCCTCTCCCCCAACCTTCAGTGGCTGCTCTGGTCAATGACACCCGATGTGCGTTCATATTTTTATTCTCATACAATAGTCTCAGTTTTAGCTTGTCCGGAGGTCTCTCTTGGGCAGTGATTCAAGTTCCCTGAGAGGCACGGATTGTAGGGCCTGTTGGAGCAGCGTGTCTTGGGTTCAAGCATTGCGTGGTCAGTTGCCAGCCCTGTGAGCCTGGGCGGTCCCACCTCAGTAACTTGAAGGGTCAGTGGGAACACCCACTTCCTGGCTGGTTGTGAGGATGACACGTTGTTGTTAGCTGAGGTCCAGTCAGTTCTAACTCGCGTTAACCCCATGTGTGCAGAGTTCACCTGCCCCACAGCGTCTGAAAGCTGTGACCTCAGAAGCAGATTGCCAGGCCAGGCGTGTCTTCCGAGGCTCCACTTGAACCGCCAGCCCTGTGGTTTTAGTCCAGTGCTCACCATTCACGACAGCCAGAGTATGGGAGTGCAGAGCTCAGCAAAAGGGCACGCACCGTGACTCTCCGCACCTTTGACCCTGCTCCCGTCCTTCTGGTTTGGGTCAACTGACCCCGATGAGCATGGGTCTCCCAGGGGGCTCTCCCAGGAGGGGAGGACATGTTGCCCATGATGTCTTACGTCCCCCTTTTTCTTTCCTGTGTAGGGTACCAAGGGACAAGAAGGAGACCGTGGGGGGCCCGGAGCAGCTGGCAACCCGGTGAGTCCTCGCATCCCCTGTGGAGCCCACTCTGCACGCGCTCTGCTCCGGCGGAGTAGGAGGGGCGGGCCGACAGTGGGCTGCAGCAGAGTGACCGGCCAGGGCTGGAGGCCTCTGGGGCGGCACTGTTCTTGGGTCACCCTGGCCACAGAGACGCCTCCAGCATTCTGTGGCTCGTCCGCACGGACACACACAGACCTCGTTCACAGGCCTGTGATATTCAGTGGTGTGCCCACAAGCATATCCAGCACACACCTGGGCACACGCACTGACGCACTCACATACGTGTGAACCCCTCTACAAAAACACCCTCGTGCCACGTGCACGCCTGTGCCTGTTCTGCTGCTGGGTGCCTGCCTCACCCGTATTCCCTGCGTTGCGGATCCAGGGGAGTGTCTGATCCCACACCACACCCACCACACCCACGGCGTCGCCTTGCTCCCCGCCCCGGCCGACTAGAGTCCAGTCAGTGCACAGAGCTTAGGCTCAGCCGTGGCACCAACTCCTGCCTCAGCTGGGTTTACTGGGTCCCCCGGGTGCATTGACGCTGCGAGAAGCACAACAAGCAGTCGGCAGGTCCCCATTCGCTCTGAGGACGCAGGTATGAGAGTGAGAGCGCAGCTCCTGCTGCAAAGCCCTCCTGTGACTTTGTGGCCTGTGCCTGGGGCCAAGTGTCCCATGTGCACACCATGGAGAGGGGGTGGACGGCACGCCCCTCCCTGTTGGCAGAGAGATCTCTGAACCCAGCTCAGCTTGGAAGCAGAGTGTGAGTGAGGAGGCTGGGTACACTTGGGGGCACTGAGCTGAAAACCACAGCGCCCAGGGCAGTGGGGAGCAACATGTGGAGGGGCCGGCCCCCAGCCCCAGGAGGGTTCTTGCTCCATGCACATACACACATGCACATACACCACACACATAACACACCAAACACACACACACTGACTCTCCATGCACACACAAAAAAACATACCACACACCATACATACTCTCCATGCACACGCACATCACACACCACACACATCACACCACACACTCACTCTCCATGCACACACATGTACACACACACACACACCAGACACTCACAGTCTCCATGCACAAACACCCCCACATATCCCCCACACCACACACTACACACACTCCTACACCACACACATCACATACACTCACTCTCCAAGCAAACACACACCACACACACTCACTTTCCATGCATACATATGCACATGCACCACACATATAGTTACACATCACTCACACTCTCCTTGCACATGTGCACATACATACACACTACACATCACACACTTGCATACACACACCATATACACTCTCCATGCACACACCTACACCACACTTCCCTCCACACCACACATACACCACACATTTATAAACACACACCACACTCTTATAAACACACACCACACACTCTTATACAGACACCACACACACTCTCATAACACTCTCCATACATGCACACAAATGCACACATGCCACACGTACAGACACCACAATCTTGTACACACACTGCACACACTCAAATACTTTATGTGTACACACATACATGCATACCCCACACATCCCCCACATGACACAAAGCACATACACTCACATACACCACAGACTTGTGTACACATACTGCACACACATTCACATACTCTCTGTGCAGATATAAATTTACACACTCCACACACTGATATACTCACACCACACACTCTCTCCATGCACACATATATATGCACATACACTATACATGTAGTTATACACACCACACATTCACACAATCTCTCCATGCACACACATACACACACTATACATGCCCACATACCACATACTTATATATACACCACACACACACTTTCCCCATGCACACACATCCATTCACACAACACATATACTTTGACATGCTACACATTTATATACACATACCACACACACTATCCTGTGCTCACACATGTACACACAGCACACATACACTTCTGCACACCATACACTTATATACACAGACCTCCATGAACACATACACATGCAAAGCTACACTTACACACACCACATGTTAATACACACACACCACACCCTTATATACATACACCACACATCACTGACACATACCACATATCCACACAGAGTCCTGCTCAGATTCACACTTACACTCTTATGCTCACACAAGCATGCACCCTCACATGCACTCACACGTACACCACACTTACATTTGCACACATATCACTTACATTCTTACACATAAAATACAAGTACACACTTCCAGACACGCTCATTTACACACTTACATGTCTCCATGCCACACATGCACACCCACACACTTGTGCGCACACACATACACACCTTTGTATATACACCACACACTCATACAGTGACATGCTCATACACACACTCTCCTGCACACACATCACACACACCCCACACTCACACACACCCCACACACCTCTGCTCCCCTCCCATATGCCTTCCCTCTACAAATGGTGCCTGTGTCTTCAGAGTGAACTACGCTGACATCGCTCCAGTCACACTTGGCCTCCCCAGGAGCTCCTCCCTCGCCCTCTACCAGCCAGTGGCCTCCAAGCCCTGGCCTTTCCTCCTGTGTGTCCTTGGGGCATGCCTCTTTCTACCACCCAGGGCCAGCCACTGCCAACCCTCATACTCTCTCTGGTCTCCAAGGCTGGCCACACCCTTCCAGCTGACCTTCGTTAGACCACAGTGTTTTCTCTCCAACACACACCCAAACAGTCTCTCTATTTCCAGTGTTCCCTTTCCCCTGAACTGAGAGGAAAGGCCAGACCCCCTGAGACCCTGCCATGACCAGGGCTGTGTCTCCTCACCTCCTGACCCCACCCTCACCACACACACGCACAAACTCTGCCTCATTGTGATGGAGCTTGCCAGGTTCCTCCAGCCTTGCTCGACTCTCCCACTCTGCTCCACTCTGAGCCCTTCTGTGAATTGGCTTGCTGGGGTGCCCCAGAGTCACACAGAAGGGTCTAGATGTGTGGGGAGGGGGTGTCAGGTTAGATGAAACCCCAGTAAATTGAGCAGGAGGCAGGTTTAGGGAGAAAGTGGGATCTACTCCTGTAATGAATACATTTGGCCTTTCTGAACTCCTATCTCTGAACAGGGAGCTTCTGGACCTGCAGGACCCCCTGGTCCCAGTGGCCCTCCAGGAGGTGTGGTGAGTACTCAAGGCAGCACAAGAACACCAGCGTTAGTTGTGGGCTCCCATTGTCCAGCCGCCAAGTTGTATATTCTCCCTGAATCTCAGAGGTATAGGTAACACGACAGGTGTGTGTTAAGCGGTCTGATCTGTGAAGTGTACAACTAGCCCCAGAGGAGAAGCAGATAGAGATGGGGATGGGGCCTGAGGCTCAGAAGTCAGGAAGTGTGGATCTGTCTTCATCTCTGACAGGCTAGGAGCTGGTGGGAAGCAGAGGGGCAGAAGTGTAGTTACTGACTGTAAAGGGGCCTGGCTGCCCTTCCCTGTGGGCCCTTCACTGGTCGTCTTTAATTCACCATGTCAGTAACTTTCCTTTCTTCAGGGCCCCCCTGGAACCAGAGGCCCCCCTGGGAAAGATGGGGAGCATGGCGAGAAGGTAAGATGCAGTGTCAGGTTCTGTGTGTGACTGTCTATTCGGAACATCTTAATGAGGCCAGGAAGGAGGCTCTTGAGCTACAATGGCCAGCTTAGGACCCAGGACTCAGCAGAGCCTTTCCAAGTGGAAGGTGTGAGAATCAACAGAGACCACCCACCAGAGAACAAGGCCCCCCAGAACCCAATGCCTTTGAGTTGATTCCAACTCAATAGCAACCATATAGGACAGAGTAGAATTGTCCCATAGGGTTTCCAAGGCTGTAAATCTTTATGGAAGCAAACTGCCTCATCTTTCTCCTGCAGAGAAGCTAGTGGGTTTGAACCACTGAACTTTTGGTTAGTGACCAAATTCTTGACCACTGTGCCACCAGAGAGCAAGCAGAGGTTGCGTATTGAGAGCTTGCTGCCGTGAGGGAGTGGGCCACCGTCACTTGCATTCAGCAGAGGGTCAGGGGCTGGCAAGGGAGTGCCAGCTTGACTGTGAGGAAGGGGCCAGCTTCACGTGTGGTGTGGTTGGAGGCTGGTGATGTGGGGAAGCGGGAGCAGGCTAATAGAACCAGGGCTCAAGTGAGGTTGATGGTAGTGCCTGCCTTTGAGTGAGCTCTGATCATGACGTCCTTATGGATAACAGAATTGCCCAGCACGCACCATGGTTCAGTCCATTGTTGTGGCAATTGACTCTCAGGGAAGAGTCTCTTGTTTTCATTGACCCTCTGCTGTGCTAACCGTGGGGTTCTTTTCTGGCTATTGGTCTTTCCCAAAGACGTGTCCAGGATAAGCAAGCAGAAATCCTGTCATCTGGCTTCTGATAACACTGATGTGATTGGTTAGGTTGGCAAATTGAACTTTCTCTGGTTGGTCCTGAGTTGGAACCAGAGGCAACATCTAGAGAAACTGGTCATTGTTGGCCAAGTTCTGACTGTTTGGGGCCAGTTATTCAAAAGGTTGTGTTCTGGCTTCCTGGGTGTTGCTCCAGAGGTTGTGGGTCACAGTTCTGTTGTCATAGTGGTCTGGCCATTGTCCATTTGCATGCTTATTGTCTCAGGGAAGAGAGGAGGCTGTGAACTCTCATCATCTCATTTATCCCTCCTCACAGAGCTGTGAATTGGATGAATCCCCATGTGACAGAGGTGGAGACTGAAGCTCCAATAGGTTAATTGATTTGCCCTAAGTCTCATAGCTAGGGAGCCACAAAGCTAGGTGTGTCCACATCTGTCTGACTTCAAACCCTGCTTTCTCACCATTCAGTCCACCAAAGCAGCCATCCCACAGCTGTGCTGCCAGTTAAGCTTTGAGCAAGAGCATTATTTATTGAGAAGAAGAGAGACACTATCCCCCCCAAAACCACCAACATCCCAGGATCCAAGGAGGAGAATCTACCCTGGAGAATAGAGCTCCCATGTCACACTGCTCTGACCACGCATTTTTAGGACACGTCTCTGATGTTTACTGATACTGAGCCAGAGCATGGGGAAACAGGCACTCACTTCACTGATTCAGCTGGGCTGACTTGGGCTTCAGATTCAGTCAGATGTCTGCTCTCCTATCTTACCCTGTCTTAGCTGAAGTATCTCAACTGGGGTGAAAAACAGTTCTTCACCAGGGCCACTTCCCTGCCCCCAACCGCAGGTTTTCCACAAACGGGGTCCCAGCACCCACTCAGTCCCCACTGGGTCTCCATAGAAGCACACACAAATCTAAGCATCTTAACATGAATTTCCTCAAGTCTACTCTACCTGGAGCCTTTTAAAGGAGTGACTTCTCTTTTATCTTGCAGCAAGATGTAGCAAGAGTAGATGTAAATGTTTGAATTTTGGCCCAAAGTTTGAATTTAGAGATACACATTGCAGAGGGAAAAATTATTTACCTTAGAGAACAAATGTTGAATCAACCTGTGGATGGCATTTTGGGGTTTGGGGAATGTTAGTGGATGGGGCAATGTTAGCTGCTGGTGCTAACTTTATAGCACCTCACAACAAGATGATTATAAGATCATTTTTTTTGCGAACCAGGTGCTAAAAATATTTTGGACCAAAAGAAAATACAGCATGTCTTAGCCTGCAGTGGTGGATGGAGGCATTTGTGTAAGGGAAGAGGGCCCAGCCTCATCTGCTCTGCCTTGACTATAGTGTGTCCAGAGAAAGAGCTTGATTCCTAGTGGCATGTAAGCAGGGCATTGGTTAACTAGAAGGAGTGATGAGAATTAGGGGGTTTTGAGGGCTAGTTGAGCATTCAGGGAGCTCTGGCGCTACAGATTTTAAAGCACTGGACTGTGAACCAACAGGCTGATGGTTGGAACCCACCAAGATGTGGCAGTCTGTGCCCATCAACATTACAGCTTGGGAAGACTTCTGTTAAGATGGCAGAATAGGCAGATAAGCTGCACAGACCCTCTTCAGCAAAGAAAAGGGAAACCAATTGACATAGATACAGAAGATAATCCTTGGAGCCCTGAGCTTTGAAAGGAAGGATACAAAAGTGGATTAAATACCAACTAGCAGAAGAACATGAATGAAAACAGTAAGTAAGGAGACAAACAGAACTGCAGACTATTAGCTGTCCTGACAGCACAGACAGCCTGAATATTTCCAAGTGGTGTTAGGACCTGAGAATTAACCTAAAAATCAGCCCTGCTCACCAAAGCCTGCATGGACTACTGCATGAGTAGCTGATGACTAAAAAATGAAACATCAAAGAAGGCGACAAACTGAGCTGTGGACTCTCAGCTATCGGGAGGATGCAGCCATTTTGAATGTTTACACATGGTGACCATTTTGGATATTTAAAATGACAGCATTCGTGTTCAGATTCTAGGGACCTAAGAATAGGCTCTGATTGCCAAAGACAGCATGGACATATTGGAGGCTGATGACAGGAATGGAGATAGGTGGTGAGTGCATAAGTGCTGCCAACTAGGGACTAGAGGAGCACAGGATCCTGCTTACTCAGATAACATCCAGACCAAACAAAGAAATGAAAATCTTGGGCAAATTACTCCAATATACAGTCACCAATTAAATATAAACACAAAAATATCACAATGTCTTGGAGACAACAGACCATCACAGTTCATGTGAAGAACCAAGATAAAGCAGTAGAAAGAAGGGACCAGGATGCAGACTCAGAACACATCCCTGGGGAAGAAGCAGAATCTTCAATGGATTGAGAGACAGATCAAGGAAAATA